TGCCCTCTAACTGCAGTGCCCGCGTTCCAAGTGTCACTGTCCTAAGATCGTGGTAGAGTTTGCCAGCAGGATGGAGGTGCCTTCGGCAGTTCATTGAGAGCCTTTTCATGGCATGATGCACACGGTTTTTATGAATGTCCCGTGTCTCTGAAAACCATGCGTCTCCTTAGGACCTTACGGATGTTGGGGTGGGGACAACATCACAGATATACACATTATGGAGTGTTTCTCCGTGCATGCAGTATCCATGTTTAGGTATGTGTATGCCTGCATTCATATTTATTACACATAACTTGTATGTGTGATATCTAAAATAACTTACATGTATGGTACGTCATAGTATAGAATACATAAATATATGTATATATAAATACACACACATTTATAAATGGAGACACACACATGCATACCCCCACACAGAAAGACCTCAGTCTTGGCTGTGCTATTCAAATTCTGCCCTATTTTCCTTCTGCTTTTTGATTCCCGATTTCTGAGAGAAATTTGAGAAGACCTCAACTATATATTATGTGAATTTATTTCTTTTTCTTTAAATTTCTATCCACGTTGCTTTCTACATTTAAAAAGCGATGGCACTAGACAGTAGGCGATAATGGTGATACCCTCTGGGTGGACTGGCACCTTTGTCCAATGAACTATTCCTCTGTTTCTCAGGACAGCCTATCAGCCTCAGGGTCTGTTGTTCTGTTGTAGCCAATCCCATCCTTCCTTCCTGAGAGCACTTGCCTGGTACAGACCCCCTCATCTGTGTGGTCTTTGTGTGTGTGTGTCTGTGTGTGTTGATTATGGACTAGATGCACATGTCCCTTTTGTTTTGGGTCTTGGTGTATGAAAAATTGAAGGGATTTGTTATTTTTAAATCCCAAATGAGAATCTCCACTTACATCTTATAATTACGGAAACGTTTTGACTATTTCCTTTCATATTATTTCATATTAACCTTTTATTTTTTAGTTGCAAGGGGCATATGTACTTGCCAGAAAGAGACAGAGAGAAGCACTCTCCAGTGGGGTGTTCTCGTGTCATCCCCTCTCCTCCATTTTTTTTTTTTTGGAGAGGTTTTTGTTATAGGGTGCATGTGCTTGCCAGACAGACAGAGAGAGACAGAGAGACAGAAAGCAAGAAATCACCCCCCAGGGGGGATGGCCATGCCGCAATCTCTTCTTCTCCATTCTCCTCTTGGGATCTTGGGCACGCACGCACACACGCCCGGCATGAGTTTAAGCCACCGGGTCCGGGACTTGAACCGCAGTCGACTATGTGGGAGTCCAGTGACATAGCCATTACGCTAACTGCTGGTCCCTCCTCCATTTCTTCATCCTGTCGGGATTTGGAGCACACACACACACTTGGCATGTTCGTCAGGCCATGGGGTCCAGGACTTCACAGCGAGGGCAGCCATGTGAGATCCAGCTCCCTTAACCACAGTCATGGGGCTGCCCCACATGACCCACTCTTTACTGACGTCTTTCTTTCTCTTCATTTTGCTGTGGTTCCATCTCATTCCTCTAGTAGGTTAAAGTTACTCCTTGCTTTCTGCCCTGCTAGTGGTCACCCTGAAGCTTTCCTTTCTGTATTTTTAAGTTCATGCTTTTCTCCCAGCACCTATATCTGTTTGGCATCTATTTCTTCCTCCTGAGCAAAATGAGAATTCATGGCATTTTGATTGCCTTCAGAAGCCTGCTCTGCCACCTCCCAGTTGAGGCCATCTGGGATTTTAACTCTATTAGTTAGATTTTAACTCTATTAGGCTATTAGTAAATTACATTTTTTCAATTTTGAGATGTAATTGACAGATAAAGATATATTTAAGGACATATGTTAAGGTTATATTTACAAGGAGATAGATTAGATATAGATAGGTGTGTGTGTGTGTGTGTGTGTGTGTGTGTGTATTTAAAGGTAAAGGGTCTGGTGTTTTGGGACATGTAAACACTGTGAAGTGATCACCCAGTGAGGCTAATTAACATGCCCATCACTTCGCACAGTTGCCATTTTCTTTCCTTTCCTTTCTTTTGTGTGTGGAGAGAACACCTAAGGTCCACTGTTTTAGCAAATTTCAAGGGTACTATATACAGTATTGTGAACTGCAGTCACCTTACTGAACACTGAAAATGGATACAAAGTTTCAACTATTGGTTTTTTTTTTTTTAAGAGCAAGATTTTTGCTTTATGGTGTGCGTACTTGCCAGAGAGACAGAGAGGCACAGAAAGCAAGATATTCCCCCCGCCCCCAGGGGGATGGCCACGCCACAATCCCTTCCTCTCCATTCTCCTCTCAGGATTTTTGGCATACACACCCAGTGTGAGTTTTAAGTCGTTGGGTCCAGGACTTGAACTGTAGTCAACTATGTAGGAGTCCAGTGATGTAACCATTACACCACCTGCTGGTCCCAATTATTGTGTTTTTACATGGTGCCGCCATAATTATGAGTTAGCCTTACACTTTACTGATTTCTTAGCTTACCATAGTGCCTGGGCTTTGGTGTGTGGGTGTGTGGGTGTGTGAGTATGCGTGTGTCTGTTGATAATGGACTGGATGCTTATAGTTCCCAAAGTTCATACATTGAAGCCCTAACCGCTCACGTGTCTGGCTGTATTGGAGACGGGGCCTCAAGGAAGTGGCTAAAGTTAAACGAGGTCAGAAGGGTAGGGCCCTGATCCAAGGGTTAGAGTTCTTCTAGGAAGAGACACCATAAGCTTTTGTTATGGACACAGACACGGTGAGAAGACAGCAGCTGGCAAGCCAGGAAGTGAGCCCTCACCGGGGATGGAATCTGTGGCACTTCAGCTGTGAACTTCCAGTCTCCAGAGCTGTGAGAAAGCCACCAGGTCTGCGGTATTTTATTATACCTGCCAGAGTAGACCAAGATGCTGTGTGTTTTATTTTATTTTGTTGTTCTGCAATTCAGCTTTGAGAAATTCTTTTGGAAAGCACACACGGGAGAGACTTTCTGCATCTTTTCAGTTCTCAAGTGTCTGTAGTTGGTGCTGCCATGTGACTGCTAGTTTGGCGGGGGGTGTGTTTGTAGATGCATACCCAGTCACCTTGGAACTCTGAGGACACTCTGCCGTCTCAGGCATCGCTGTGGGCAAGCCTGTGCCTAGGTGTGGGTTGTTTTGTTTTTCTTTCTGTTTTTAATCATCTTGTTTTTGAGACTTCCTTTTAACATTTGTTGTTCTGAAATTGTATGAAGACATGCCCAGGATCTTTCACTGAGATCTGTCCTCCTGCAGTCTCCTAAACATTCATTCACTGGAGTCTGTCTGGTAGTGGCTGTTCAGGCTCCAGGGGAACCCTGAGGGGGAGGAGAAGTCCTGCCCGCAGAACTTCCCGGTCCTGCTGGTTCATTGCTTCCTTCTCTGAGATCCTCCTCAGCTGAACTCACTATATGGATGTTGGGCCTTCTGGTTTGGCCTCAGTTTCTCAACTTTTTTTAGGTGTTCTCTTTATCTTTTTGTGCTGTGCACAAGAAAAATAAAAAATATCTTGGGAATTTTCTAAATAAAAGGAAACGAGAATCCCCATAAGTTTGGGGGAGACCATCATCCCACGGAGGAGACTCCTGGCGAGGCCGGCCGGTCGTGGAGCGCTCTCTGGCTTTGCCTCGCTCATGCTCAGCCCAGCACTGCTTCACGTTCTTTCAGATGTTCCGGTTTCTTATTTTCACATTTTCTGTCTCGTTTTCTCATGTTGTCTCTTCTAGTAAGTATGAACAGTTAATAGCCACTCCGAGACTGTTCCATTTTCCCTGCCGTTCTGGCCCTAGTCCTGCTCCTTGCCACCTTGATGCTTCCTTTTGGGAGCTGCAGTGCACAGCCCGGATCAAGTCCCCACCCCCCCAAGCTCCAGTTCCCTTGTCGACAAAGAGCACAGAGCTCCGTGCTGCCAGGGGCCGAGAAGTGACTAGAGTGGGCTTGGAATGTCCTTTCGGGTATGCTGCTACTGAAATATCCCAACCCAGCATCCACCCCAACACTCCAGTCCAGCACCCTGACTTTGCCCTGCAACTCAGTACCCCCAACCCAGTAATATAACCCAGTACCCAATCCATCCCCCATCCAACACCCCAAACACCTGCCCACTGTGGGCAGCCCTGGGTTTGGGGAGGCGCTACTCCTTCAGGACCAGGTGGGCAGGCACAGTGGGGACTGTGGCCCACCAATGAGTGGACTTGCTAAGCTGAGCTGCACACTCAGAAACGTAGAGATGTGAGTTTCGTGTCATGTGAAATGTGTGTTTTAGGCCAGAAGCGTAGCCTCCCGTTAGTAGCTGCCCACTCTGGTCTGACAGAGCCCATGCCCTACCTGGGCAGACTCAGGTCTGGACCCAGGACCCAGTATCTGGCAAGCTAGGGACAAACAGGCCTTTCCAGCTGGCACTGGAAGGACACGTGTGGCCCAGAATGGATCCAGGAAGGGCTGGACAGGCCATCACAGGAGCCACATCCAGTGATGGACTTACGGTTTCAAATACAGGGCTGACAGGTACGGCAGGCAGGCAGACCCAGTTCTCGGGCCTCAGGAGCAACCTGTGAGTCAGGATCTCGCCAAGCTCCAGGGTGAGTCTCCCTCGCTGATGGGGAATCATTTTGAGCAGGGTAGAGAGGGTCAGCAGTATGCTTGGGAACACAAGTAGGGTGATGGGGTACCTAGGATGGGGGCGTGGCCAGAGAGCTTTAGACCAGGAGAGAGATGGAGACCTGCCCAGGAAAGGGGATGTTCTCTGCAGGTAGTCAGTCCTAGGGCTCCAATGATGGGAAGAGGCCACGTGCTCACCTTCCCCGTGTGCCAGAGTGCCTGAGGGAGGAAGCTATGGGGCAGGGCGTAGGGGAACACTGTTCAGGGTGGTGCTGAGCCTGGGCTGAGGAAAATGGAGAAGATCCATGGTGGGACAGGTGATGGAAGAAACTATGAGTTGGGCTTGAGGGGCCTGTAGGGCACCCGTGGGCTGCAGGAAGTTTGCTCATGGCTGGGAGACACAGACACAGCCCCTGACCACTGGGCTTGTCAGTGACTTTATTCATGGAAACAAACAGAGTGATGGCCAGGCTGGCGTGAGGCAGCGGACTGAGCAGCTGGGTTTTTACATTCCCTGTCCTGATGAGTCCTCATGGCTTATGCTTCTGTGAGTCCCTGACACCAAAGCAGGAAGCTATCTGCCCCCTTCTTCCCCCTGGTGTGGCCAGCACTCGGCTCCCCTGGCTTGTGCTTCTGCAGCCGTGATCTGTGGTCACATGGCAGAGACTGGCTATGCCTCTGGAGAAGGCCTGGGCCTGCCCAGGGCACCTGCCCTCACTAGGGGACTAGACCTGACAGTGAGGGCACTGAGCTGGGGTTCACACGGGCCCCTGGCCCAGGCCAAGTGGGAGTCCAAGTTAGGCTAACTCAGGGACAGGGAAGGTCGCCCTTGTAGGCACAGGCCCAGGGAGGTCACAGGGAACCCTGGTTGTCCAGGAAGCTGAACCTCAGGTCAGTGCGCCCGTGTAGTGGGTGTGCTGCTCATGGCCAGGGCAGAGGCTGGGAGGGGCCTTGGCCACTCCATGGGCAGCCAGCTCAGAGAGGCAGTGATGGTTGGCAGTTGCCAGAGTCCCCTGTATAGGATTCTCTCCTCTCAGGGCACCTTGAAGCCTTCTATTTCATGAGTCTGTGTCCCTGAGTCCCTCCCGTCAGTGTCCAGCAGTGGCCCACCCCAGGCTCAAGGCCTAGAGCTGCAAGTGCTTAGGGCAGCAGCTGGTGTTGGCTGAGTTCTGTGTTGGCACCGAGACAGCAGCCCGTGTGTCCACAGTGCTGACGGCAGGCTGGCCTCATCTGTCGCACGTCGCTGCCAGCCTGAGTCCATGGTCAGTAGTGAGCTCCGAACAGCGTGGCCACCTTCTGGAGGATGGTCTTGTGGTTGGAGTACAGTGGTATGCGCTTGTCCACCACCTGCCACCGGATGGACACCCCTGGGTCACGGGCCTGAAGGTGCTGGAAGGACAAGATAGAGCTGGCTTCCTTTCTGGAGGTCCCCCAACACCCCCCCAGCCACCCTGCAAGCCTCAGACTGCATGGGGGAAGGGGAGGCACGTCCCCCTTCTCCAGCTGACTGGCTAGCTCACCTGAATCTCCTATAGGATAGGAATAGGAACATCTGCTTTGGATGTACCTGAGACCACCTGTTGAAAGCCCTGGGCATCCTTGAGTGAGAGAAGATGCAGCCACAGCTTCACTTGGAGGCATTTTACCTGACAGGTGAAGCCCTGGGCTTGGATGTGTGGCTTTTTTTATCCAGTTCAGGATTAGGAATATGTAGGGCTGGTCTTAATACAGGGGGTAACATCATTATAAAAGGAAGCTGGGGGCCAGCTGGTGGCATGGTGGTTAAGGCTCTAGACTTCTTCATGGTCAACTGAACAGTTCAAGTATCAGACCTGGCAGCTTGAAAATCACACTGGGTTGGGACCAGCAAATGGTGTCATGGAAAATCACACCGGGTGCATGTGCGCATGTGCCCAAAACCCCAAGAGGAGAATGGAGAAGAAGGGTTTTTATCATGGCTGTTCTCCCTGGGGGGTGAATACTCACTTTCCCTCTCTCTGGTGAGTGCATACACTCTATTGCAAAATTTAAAAAGGAAAAAAAAGGGAGGAGCGGAGAAAGAGAAGGGAGCAGGGAAGGCCTTGTCAGCCTCACCCCTGGGCAGGGTTCCTGGGGCCAGCACGAGGGTCTTGAGATCCTAAAGTTTAGCTGTGTAGCTCGCTTGACTCTTGCCACCTGCTGTCGCCCTCTGACCTTTCCCTGTGCCTCCTCTGGCACTTGGACAAGGCTCTGACCCCTGTAGCCTTCACTCTCCAATCCTGGGCAGCTCTGACCCTGAGCCGGTCAGACCCTCCCTGGTGCCCCGGGACAATGTCCAGATCACAATTTCTGCCCATGTCCCCCCTCAGCCCCAGTTCCGTACAGAGTTCAGCTGCTTCAGCTCAGCATCGTTTTGGTCCTGGAAGTGGATGCTGATGGCCACTGTCTCGATCCAGGCATTGTCTGTATTCCTCGGGTCGTCCATGTACCCTTTGTACACCTGAGAGGTCAGAGCCGGTGAGTGGGTCCGCCGGGTGTCATGGATGGCCCTGAACACCCCGCCTACTGTCCACCAGTGAGGGGCTTTCTTTCAGAGGAGGGATCCCCCAGGAAGCTCTGAGCACAGCCGTGCACTGAGCCCACGCCCCCCTCCCAGCTTCCCCTACCCCCAACTCAGGGCTGCCGGCACAGCTTTCATCCTTGACCCACACGTCTCGGGACTGGCCGCCTCTCATCCTACTCCCGAGCTCAGACCCAATACAGAGGCCCACAGACACCAGGTCCAGCTCACTAGCCTCAGCCTCCAGAGACCTTGGGAGGATTCAAAAAGGATGACGAGCCTTGAAAACACTCTGCTCAGTGAGAGAAGCCAGACACTGAAGGCCACATACTGCAGGCCCGCTTACAGTGAATGTCCAGAGCAGGCAGGCCCACAGAGCCAGAGCCAGATGTCTGGTGGCCAGTGCCAGGGGAGAGGGGCCAGGCTGGCCCTAGTAGTTGTGGTGTTTCTTTTTGGAGTAAAGGAATGTTCTAGAGCTAGAGTTGGTAGCTGCACATCATTTTGAGTGTACTAATTGCCACAGAATCCTTCACTATATATGGTTCATTTTAGGTTATACACATGTTTCAACTCAATAAAAAAAATAATTTTTAAATGACTGAAAAATAAAAACACACACAAAAAAACCCCAGAGATGTTGGCATCTCCTGAGGCCCAGTGCAGTGCAGACCATATGAACTGCTGGGTTTGTAAGTCAAATCATCAATTATGGGCAATGGCACTTGTTTCCAGTTAAGATGTAACAGAAACTGAGCTGGTAATGGTGTAAATGCTCATGCAGCGGACTGTTAAATAAACAGTGGGGCATGCAGACTACAAGTTAGCAGTTGGGAAAAAGAGTGAAAAAAAGAAATTTTCATCTTAAAAATGGGGCCATCAGGGACCAGCAGTTAGCAGAATGGCTATGAAGCTGGACACCCATATATTTGACTGCTGTTCGAGTCCCAGACCTGGTGGCTTAAACTCACATTGGGCGCATGTGCTTGCATGCCCCAGATCCCAAGAGGAGAATGGAGGAGAAGGGATGGCCATCCCCCCGGGGGGGTGATTTCTCGCTTTCTGTCTCTGTCTCTCTCTGTTGCTCTGGCGAGCACGCCCTATAGCAAAAACCTCTCCAAAAACAAAAACAAAAACAAAACTAAACTAAACAAAAAAATGGGTTCATCACAAATGAAGTGAAAAAGCAACTTACAGAAGCATGTGCACTGTGCAGCTTGTTTTTATCAGGTGTGGTACAGAGAGGAAGCTGGGATTGAGTCCTCCCAAAGAAAAAGGTTTCTAAAGAAGTAAACAAAATGGCCTGGCCTTGTTTGTGGGGGCCATGGGGAACAGCGTTGGGCAAGCTCAGATGGCTCTGAGGGGCCAGCTGGCAGCCCAGCACCAGTCCAACATGCTCAGGGCAAGGATGAGCGTGAGGAAGAGGCAGACACCAGACTTCAGAGCAGCCTGTCCCACCTGGAAGGTAGCAGATTCCTTGGCTGGACCGCTCAATTTAAAGAAGAGGAAGTGAGGGACCAGCAGTTAGCTTAATAGCTATGTCACTGGACTCCCATGTAGTCGACCACGGTTCGGATCCCAGACTCGGTGGCTTAAAACTCATGCCGGGCGCGTGTGCATGCGTGCCCAAGATCCTGAGAGGAGAACGGAGGAGAAGGGATTGCGGTGTGGCCATCCCCCCCTGGGGGGTGATTTCTCACTTTCTGTCTCTATGTCTCTCTCTGTCTTTCTGGTGAGTGTATGCACCCTATAGCAAAAACCTCTCCAAA